GCTTCAGTGATGCTATCTAACCATCTCATCCTCTGCCGTCCTCTTCTCCTTTTGCCTTCAATCTTTCCCAGCATCAGGGTCTTCTCCAGAGCACTTCAGCAATAAATATGGCAAATATAGTAGGGGAAAGTGAGTTTCTAGCAATATTTGTGTTAAAAAACAACTGTAATGGACAGAAGGAATAACCTTGAGGAGCAGGAGGAAGAGCCACAAACAAGACAGTGGCCAGATAAAAGAAATCTGAGTCCAGGGCACAAATGTAATTGGAGAAGGTGTCTCAGACATAACCATCCCTACTTCTCATGAAGATAAAGGAAGGTATGGGGGAAGCTTGCAAGATTCTGTTACTATAACCTTTTAATAAAAGTAGTATTAGCTTGTGTGTCTTTGGTTTCCAGGTTTGGTCTACTTTGGAGGCCTGACATCAACTAACCATTTAGTTTATAACCATATGGCACTGTACATTCAGCTCAATTCCTAGAGACATATCTACTGTAGCATATAAACATCTTCCAGAAAATGCTGTTACTATATTTTTAAAATTTGGCAAGCTGTTGATGCGCTAGTAGAATTGTAATATTAGCTCTTATTTTAACCTGTTGAGAGGTTAAGCTACCAGAGTCTTCAGGACAGAGCTGATATAGTGCAGACCTTTACTATAAAAAAATTATATTGCTATTAAGATTTGACAATTAGGCAGTTTATAAGCTTTCAAAATATGTTTGGTCTATTTTCATTGCTTTTTACTTCTCTGATTCCCCTGGATGTATGCATAGAGGAGGAATGTAAGGAAAGTAGTGCTGGATCAGCCCAAGGGCTATTTTTTCCAGTGTTGTGTTTCCAGGTGGTGATGGGAAGCCCACCAGCAGAACACACTCACAATAGCTCTCTCTCTCTCTCACACACACACACACACACACCTGGTATTGAGAGACTTGCTGTCTCTGATACTGAATAACCATAATGCTTGCTAGCCAGTGATAATCTCATCCTCCATTAATATCTAATCCCCTTTTAAAATTATTCAGATTGGTGGCCATTTCTATAGCATGGGACGGCCAGTTCCACAAATTGTATGCTATGTGAAGAAGTATATTTCAGTAGAGGAGAATAAGAGTAGTTCAGGGTTGAACTGTAGAGTCCTTGGTGCTCTCTGAGCTTGGTTGTTTGCTTGCAGATGTTTCATTACCCGATTTGGTAACATCATCAATGGATTTATATACAGTAGCATGCCTTGCCGGTGTTGGTGGGGGTATGGCTTTCTCCTTGTAGTTCCTTGATTAGGGTATTGGTATTTTATATAGGGTATACTATTTTGATATTTTATATAGTATGTATAAAATACTATACTATAAAAACATAGCAATATGTATGTATGTATGTATTTTACATAGAGTATATAGGGTATACAATACCCTAATTTACCCCTCCATAGATCAGCTATATCTGGCTTTTCTGGTTTTTCATCATGCCTTGAGCACCAGAAGCTGAAGCTTGTTAGGTAGTGCCATCTTGAGGTGAAAGAAATAATCCCCCCATTAAAATTGAGGGACAGTGTCCATTTAAGTAATTTTTTCACAAATATCCAGTAATGTTAATTTGTTTATTTGAATGTTTTTCTTATTTATATTCTGCATTTTTTTACAAACTTTCAGAACAGTAATTTTTTGTTCATAAAATAATAATTCTAATTTAGCTTGCCCCAACTTGGTTGTCTTATTGATACGCTGGATTACAAAGTCTATAATTTCCAGACAGCATGCCTGTTTTAGCTGGGTATGATGAAAATTAAAGTCCAATAGATCTAGAGGTCACCATATTGTAAAGAGATGCTCTACTCTGTGGCTGTAAAAAGAACAAAATTAGGATAGGGATTTTGTTGTTATTGAGTATTCTTCCCAATCAACTGTAAAAACATCATCAGCTCAGCTACCACATTTTCCCCATGAATAGGTTGCCAGTATATGATATGCTGTCCATTTTAAAAATCTGATTTTTGGAGTAAAATGAAGATACAATATAATTTAATCATTAACCAGTTTAGGTATAAGCAGAAGCAAATTGCTGGCAACTGCATGTACTTTAAAAAAGACGTTGAAAGAAAAAACATAAAAGTCTAGTGTTTATCATTCTCTTTGGGATATTGTTTACCCCTGAGCTTATGTTGCAAAACTACTTTCTATACAGCAGTGATTTTTAAAGTTCTCTACCTTCAGGAAATACTTTGTACACAAGATTACCTACTGAGCAATCTACATGTGCTGCAGAGAATACTAGGATCTAATGCACGGAGCTCATACAGAATCCGCTTGGCGCATGTGAAAAGAGAACAGACCCTAGATCACAGTCCCTCTTGTTTGAGAACAATATGCTTTAGGGAACAGCAATGGGGAAAATCTTTCAGAGAATCTTGGCTATCATTACTGGAGTCTTTAGTAAGCATAACTTCCCTTTATTATTTATTCAGCGTATAAGCCACCTTTGCCTGGAGATGCTCGTGAAAGATGCATATTAGTGATGATGAAGACATATTTATTGAACTGCACTTGATTTATGTTGTAATAAGATTCATAGATCTCAGTCCATTATGGTTAAGGTATTTTACTGTTTGGTACTGTTATATTAGTGTTAGCTTATATAATAAAGAGCCCCCTTTGGATTTCTCCTTGACTTTTTTTTAACAAATTGATTATTTATTTAAACAATTTATATTGCTGCCCATCTCATAGCATGACTGTGGGTGGCCCAACCAAAAACAAAATTAAACCAGGTAGAACCCTGAAATAATAGTATTATTTCATTTCAGTTGATGTATAACATGGGCCTTGGTCTAAAAACAGTCCATTTTAATCCATACAGACCAAACAATCCACCAGGAGAGCTGATTTAAGCTCTCAACTCATGTGCCTGAGGATTGGACACTTTGACCCAGCCAGAAGTAGTGACTCACAATGCACACTTTATATCCCATAATTCTGGTTTATTCTAGACCTTGCAGCCCACCTTCTTCAAGTTCATTTATATCTGCAACAGTATCTTTACAATTAATGGACCCATATCTCAGGTGCTGCATTTCCAGGTGCTGCTTTTCATTTGATGCAGCTGTCTCCATCTTCAGCATCTCTTTGTCATCTTCATCACTTTTGCTTTTCTGAAACAGCCCAGATAATAAATTATGCATGATACAGAACAAAGTGTACTCTAGAAAGTCTTGATGGAGGAAGACAAGAATGACTGGTAACCACACGTTTCCCATTAATTTTCCTTTCAGAGATTTTTTTTTTTAAATAGGATGCTGCTGTAGGTTTTCTGTTATGTGTTTTATTAGAGAATGTTGATTTAAAATAAAACCTTATATGGTGTTGATTCGTGCACAGATAACTAAATTAATCCATAGTCCAATTAATGTGGAAAGGCTTGAGCTCAGTTGAATGGGATGGACTGTACACTCAGGAAAGTATCTGCACCCAGTGATTTCTCTCTGCTCGTTCAAAATGAAACACACAGAATGCAATAATAGCCCTTTATGAGCATTATAGAAACAGTACAGCTCTTTTGGTATGTCTGTATTAGGGTTTTTCTTCAAAGGTCTACTTCTTATAAATCAGAGCTGCATAGTCTAAGGTTCCACATGCCTTTGATGTGGCTGCCAGAGAGTGGCAGTTTTAATGTGTCAGAAAAGGAAAATCAATAAATTCATAACTGAAGAGTAATCATTCTGACTCTATTTCATGTTAATTATATGATTGTTTTCCTGATCCTATCTACTACTTTTAGCTACTCTAAAGGCAGGATGATCTGTAGCCTGGGAAATCTACACTCCTGTAATACGCAATAGATGCACTGGTAGACCAAATTTGGCCTGGACCACTTTTGACAAGGGATGAAGGAAGGTCATGATTCTAAAACTATGGCTAATAGACAGTTGGGAGGCCAATAGGCTGGCAATTCTAAGGGGAGGGGGTGATCTTCTACTAGAATACTAGGACTAGTATAGTAGCCCTTATTTTTTTAATAGCACATTCAATTTTGTGTTATCCCACTTGGTACAGTGGTATGGTTTCTCCCCCAATCTGTCATCTGTGGAAAAAAAGGCCATAGTTATTGCCTGATTGTAGAAACACTTCCAGGTTTTAGTATTAACATATCCGAAGTTTCTGCATTATGATATTCAAAGGATCCACATACTATTTTTTGAAAAACTTGATAGCTAGGAAGATTTGTCTTTACTGTTCATAAATTTTCACAGTCCAAGCTAATTGCATGGCACACACTTCTAGCTACTCAACTCTATCATATGATCAGATTTTTAAGTATCTCAGCCTCCAATAAAATACCAACTTAACAGAGCAAACAGTAACAGATTTCTCAACCTGACAAGGTGAGCAGTAACTTTGCTCTGAATTCTTTGAAAGTTATTAAAAGAGAAGTTAAATGAAAAGCTTGTTCCACAAGGTAATTTACAAGGATCAACATTCTGGTCCATGAATCATAATTATGCAGTAGTTTGTAAAATACCTGATTAGTAATGATTTCTTAAGAGGAATAAATGGTTGAATGGATTTTTAAAGATAAGTCATTCTTTTTTACTTGCTTCCTCCTTCCCAACCTTTTCAGGGCCAAAGATACATCTGGAATTTCAAAACTATTCTCAAAAAAAAAAAAAAAAAATCAGGAGGAGTAGGGGGCTTCCAAGTTGTAAAGGAAAATGTTGGCCAGCACCCCGATGCCTATGGTCACCATTTTAGGGGACCCAAGCATAAATATTGCATGAGGCTTTTAAAATCTGCAGGGGCTCTCTTACAATCCTAGAATTTACACTCAGCACTCAACACAATGATTGATGAGTAGTTTAAGGACAACAGGAAGCATATATTCACAGCTTTACTGATGTCAGGCTTCTTTCCTTGCGGTCTGGACAGGAAACAGTTATTCTCTGAATGATAATCCAACAGCTCTGGCATTTATTAGAAGGAAGATAGGATAACAAGAATTCTAGCAAGTAATCTATTTTCAGATGAAACACATTTACATCAGCAATTTAGGGCAAAAGTCTTCATTCACTTTCTCTGCTTTTTCTATGCAGACAGCTGAATGACCCTCCCCCCCATTTTGTGAATGAGAAGTAGTCTTTGTTTATTTTGATAACCCTACCAGTATGAATTTCAGTGAATCTGAAAGTCAGTGCCATAGGAATCTTTCTTCAGGTCAGAAAGCTATAGATGAACTATGCTGGATTAGGAGCAGAATTAGTAAGAATTATTTAACTTGACCTAATGGCAAATCAGCATCAATTGGTTTAGAGTAAAGGTAGACACAGTTTTATGCTAGAAGGGCACAATTAACACTTAGTTGTGGGGAAAAGCTGCAGTGAGCAAGGTGATACAAAATGGGGAAGGATGAGGATTTTCTTTCCCCACCCCACCCTGGATTTGGGGTATCGATGTTCTAGCCATAGATTCTCTATCCCTAATTTAGAGTAGGATGATGTCTGTAAGGGCTGAGGTCATGACAGATGTTGGTGAAGTGAAAAGAGCCATTATGTAAACCTATCTCAGCTGCTAAGCAACCCACCAAATAAATCTGTTTTCAGAACAATGGAGAAAGAAGCCTAGAATTTAAATTTTGGACCATAGATAACATCTCTTTTTTGCACTGCAGTGGACTATCAACAGTTGTGTTTCTGTTTTAATTTTTGTTGTCTGCAATAAAAATTAGAATCTAGTCAAGTCCAAGTTTAGCTGAGAACTGAATTTACAGATAAGCATCTGGAGAGGTATGATTTACTGTCAAGTCTTGATGTAATATCCAGTGAATACTATGTGGTTTACTTCAGTTGGACATGAGCCAATAGTGTGATGCAGCAGCTAAAAAGGCAAATGCTCTTTTTAATTAGTGGCAGAAACACAGAGTCCAGATAATGAGAAGTAATTGACCACTCATACTATGACTTGGGCAGGCACCACTTGAAATACTGTGTCCAGTTCTAGGCACTGCAATCAAAAAAGAACTTTTGCAAATTTGAGTGAGTTCAGAGGAGGGCTATCGAGTTAGTGACAGGACTGGAAACTATACTATGAGGAATGAATAAAGGTTATGTTTAGTGTGAAGAAGAGAAGCCTAAAGGGAGATATGATAGCAATGTTCATATAGTTAATAGTGTTATCTATAGGAGGAACTAAACTTCTTCTCTGATGATCCAGAGGACTTAATCCAAACCAATGGGTTGAAGCTGAAGGAACATCAATATTAGGAGGAATTTTCTGGTGGGAAGTGCTGTCAGTCAGTGTAACAGGCTACTTCAGGAAATGGTATGTCTTCTAACTGAGGCTGATAGTTATCTCTCCAAAATGCTTCAGCAAGCAGATGGATAGGCAAGATGACCTCCAGCTCCTTATGAATATGTAAAGCCTAGTATAACCACCATTTTTAATGGAATATGAAGTCTACAAAGTTCCACAAGAGAACAAATAAACTCATATCTAACTTTTCTATGCTGAAAAGTAGCCTTGGAAAACTACATTTTGTAAATGTGACAAGCATTGGAGAGTGCTTAGTCTATTCCCTTCCAATCATTAAGAATTTGGAATCTTCCCAATATAAGAAATGGGTGGGTCATTTTACTTTACTCATTATTCCACTTCCCATAATTCCTGACTTTTGGCCCAGCTGGGCTAAGAGAAATTAATCAGATAACATTTCCCATCAGCTCTTGAATTTGGTTTTTCATCTTTTTTTTTAAGAAGTGGGAGACATGCTACACATTTGTTTAAACATGTAATTTGGAGGTAAGGCTACTTGGAGCCATCCTTATGTTCCAACAATAGATGCAAAATTTGTTGAGCTTATGGAATTTGGTCTAAAATATATGGGGAGGGCAGTTGATTGTCTACTACGATGCAGTTTGCTTCTCATTTGTTCAAATAGTAGACTGGTACAGTAGATAAACATATACAGCATATGGAATATCTTGAGGCTTTTCTAAGCCAAGACTACACATAATTTGGGGAAATGCCCAAGACAAAAATGTTAAAAAATTATTGGCAACCTTTGCACAATGCAAAAGCAATTCAGCACATTTTTCTATTGGCCTAATATTGCTTCCAATAAGATCTACTTTACTATGAAACAAAGTTCATATATACCATCCAGAACAGATTGTGTATGCTGCTAAAGCAATAACTGTCTTTTATCTTTAACATGGAGGCAATGGTTGGAGTTATTTTTTTATCTAAAGCATTAAAACTATTTAGGTGGGTCAGCCCCTTAATAGGGCTAAAATTAATATTCATTGCATCATCCCTTCTGTTTCATTTCAGGGCTTTGTGTCAGGTTAAGCCCAAAGAACTCCAAGAAACAATGCAAATTCAGTTCTGTGTTTATTAGCTACAACCTCTAGAAAGAATCTCCCCAGACTGAACCGTAGCTCCCAAGCTAGCCAGCCACAACACCGTGAATTCCTCAGGGAGGTGCCAGCCTCATCCTCTTGCACTTCCCATGCTCTTGCGGAGAAACAAGAACGCGCTTATCTCCCTGAGCCTGGCCTTCATAATTCCATTCCATCACACTTTGGGAGCCCCAGGGCTTCATATTCTGTGTGTAACACAACTTAAAAACTAATCCCCAATCTGTGGCAAACAAATTGCCTGGTGCCTTACACTAGCTAAGTTACCTTTATCTTATTTTGTGTCCTGTAGTATTCATCCACCGCATACTGGTATTTAGATTCATTGAGTCCAAAGAACGTGGCAAATTTCCCACCAAGAACCTCACAAGCTGTAAGGATATCGAAGAAAAAGAGTAATTTGAACAACTCCTAGATTTTGGTGTGCAGATGTGCAAGTGGGTGTGAAGGATGAATATAATCAGAGCATCCAATAATAGACAGTGGCCAGTATGAGTCCACAAATTCTTCCATATCACATTTAATTTACTTTCTGCTTGTTGGTGGAAGAAGAAAATAACTTCCTTGGCTGGGCCACAATCTATAATTAACTTCCATTATGAAGATGCAAGAACATATATGCTTTCTCAGGAATTGCTAGTGATGTACTAAACATTCTTACCCTAACAGCCTGACTATCACCTATAGTTAACCCCTCCCCCTCAAAAAATATACTTACAAAAAAATGCTGTGGCTACAATTCGAAGTACCCAGAGTCGTAGGTAATTACTCCAAGAGAGATTGGCCTATGAAATAAAGTCAAAGGTCTGTTGGTAACAATATAGAGACTCATCTGCATCTGCTGCAAAGCAATCATACTATGAGGATGTATTTCGGAGCAAGATCATAGATTTCAGTTGCAAAAAGAGAAAGAGTAGGCTATTGCTGTCTCAAACTATAATCAAGTGGTCGCTGTTGCTGAAATTTCATTCCTACATTATGCATAGAAATGCATCACTTTCCTGAGAAAAAAATCCTGAAAAAAACAAAATAGTAAACAGGGCAATTCCCCCCCCCCAATTATTTATCTATCTTATCTTCCCTTTTTTGTCCTTTTTCATGAATATGTCCCTGTATCCATGAAATAGAATAGCTACTGTATTTCAGCGGTATACCACTAATCAAATGGTAGAGCTTCCATTAAAAGGTAGGCAGGGCCAAAGCAAAACATTCAGGGCTATGAATTAATATTTAATAAATAAATGAATAAAATGTATCACCTTTATCAGTGGCCAAGAAATCCAGGAGGAAGATAAAAAGATCTTTGCAGACAACAGTATACTTTCATATACACTTTTTTTCATATATTTGAAAACACACATATCATTTATCATCTAGTGGGGTACACAGAAAGGTTTTCTAAAAGGTTAACAAGTTAATTCTAAAACATTTCTGAAGTTTATCTCACTAGCTTCATAAAAAGTCTTAGCATTTGTGTCATTGGGGTTGATCAGCTATTTTTTTTTTAATGTAACCTAACTTCTTCAAATGACAGTAACAAACTGCATATTACAGGAAAAGCTTTCTTTCAAGGTGTCTGCTGAAATGATCAGCAATTGTGTTGCTGTTGATTTTCAGTTGTAAAGAAAGAGGAGGATCCATAGGCTGCATCAACGTCCCAGTGGCCATACAAATAAATAATAACAGTGGTAGTAGTAGTAGTAATCTCACAGTGTCAAGTAGTGGCTTCTGATTGCCCTCCTCAACATCATCTTCCTCTGAACTGCATTCTTCCATTGATTCGCCATTTGCAAAATAAATAATCTTTCTAGGTGGTTTATTTTCCTTTTGAGTATTATCTCCAAGTTGCTTTTCATCGTTCTCTTCCTCCTGTTCATCGAAAGGAAAATCAACTCAGCCAAAACAATTTTAGGAAGAGATGAGAACTCTAGTTTGCATTGTGGTTTTTACTTCATCTTCTAAAAATTGAATAAAAATAGACTTGTTTGATTTTGATTTCATTTGAAGGCCTCTAAAATTAGAAACAAAACCTCCAACCTTATATCATAAATCCAATCCCTTCATGCTGTTTCCCCCCCCCATTCTTTTGGGGTGTGCTTACACACGTTGTTTCTGGAGCTTTGTTTTATGTGTATTTGAGACTGGTTCCATATATCGTAATATGTGGCACTTCATTTGTTCTTTCAGTCCTGTGACGAAGTGGTATTCCCTTGAAATATGTTGGGACTTTTGGTACAATAATAATAGCAGCTTTAGTAACTCTTATGAACTAACATTAGAAAATGAAACTACCCATTTTAGTGTGACCCAACATCAGATTTGCTATTTTGACATTGATTTCTGATGGTATTGTCTACACTGACTCTTGAAAATAATGGGGGTTGGCTACACACACACACACACACACACACACTCACTTCCATTGCTCTCATATAAGAAAACCTTCCATTGCTCTCATATAAGAAAAAAAACATCAAGAATAGGTCCTTTGCACATGGTTACTATGTTGAAAAAGGTTACACTAAAGGGTTATGAGGATATTCATAAGCCAAATGGTGTCTTTATGACTAATACATGCTTACTTTGTTGCTACCCATCATGATATAATTCACATTCACAGAAACAATTCTAAGCGTTCAGGCCTGGGGCTCCCAGGGGACCAGGGAGATTTTACGATGGCTCCCTTATTAATTTTATGCCCTCCTGTTTTGTGTGTTTTTACAGTTTTTTATATGTAGTTGTTTTTATGTATTTATTTTTTTACTTGTTGTACACCACCCATTGTGTGTTTTTACAGTTTTTTATATGTAGTTGTTTTTATGTATTTATTTTTTTACTTGTTGTACACCACCCATTGTGTGTTTTTACAGTTTTTTATATGTAGTTGTTTTTATGTATTTATTTTTTTACTTGTTGTACACCACCCAGAGTCCCCTTGTGCAAGATGGGCGGCTATATAAATATGATAAATAATAAATAAACAAATAATAAGTGTTCCAGTCAACTTTCCTTGTGACTGAAGGCCAAAGCAAATGGAGAAAATGAAATACGCTTTATTCTTCATCTCCCAATCCATCCTTCAACTATACTGTACTCAGCTTGTTTCAAAACAGTACTTAATTAGCAGCAGTTAATTTTCAGACCCATTAAAAAAAGATTGTATATCAGCAGCATGCACATATGCACTCGTTTTTATAATTTTATGTATTTTGCTGTATAATGGCAGGTTTTCCCAAACAACAAATGTATTCTTCAGTATTATCTTTCAAGTCATTGTTGTAACAAAGATTATTAAGTCTTTGAAAAACACAAAGAATTTCCTCCTACACCCAAGGCTAAAGCAATCAAAATCTGAAAGAACAAAACAGGAACTTACCTTTAGAGTCTTTTGGGTATTGTCCATCACAGAAATAATATCTGATTAAAATAATGCTGAGATAGGAGATGGAAAACACATAACTGGGGGGTCTGTGCAGAGAAATTTTGGAAAGATGAGCATTTCAAAAGAGGCCAGCAGGGAAAAACAGTACTATAGTAGACCAAGATACTCCTTTCTCATCAAGGGTTGGCCAAGTTTGAAATGTGGGCTGGACTTTCTCCTCTTCCGTAACTTATGTACCAAATCTAAATTATTACAGTGATAGCCAAAAAGCTAAAGGGAATGTAAAATGAGACTTTAGAAAATTGCTAAACATGTGATTTATTACAATCAATACCTTCCCACGTTGGGGAGCTATCTTCAGCACCTTCTTTTCTATGGTTTACCTCCCCCTTCCTCCCCCTGCCTTTTCAATTCAAATGCTTTTGTGTTTTACAAGGTTAGAAGTTCCTGGAGTAATATTGACTCTTTTCCAACAGATCTAATCAGCAGGAAACAAACACCACACCTATACTGAAAAGCAACATTACCTGGAGCTGTACATGCTGTGCCATCTATGGGCTACTCTGTAATATCGTCATGTCTTTTAAGACATCATGACATAACTTGCTACATGCTAACTTCTTAAGAGAGCAGGAATGAGGAAAGAATATAAGAAGAGAAAACAGGGGTGCTGGGGGGTAAAAAAATCAGTATGGCACCCCCACTCTTTTTATATGCATCACAACACACATAAAAAAGTGGCTTCAGTCACATGGTTGTAGTTACCATCTTGATTTTTTGGACCCTCTTCTTCTTTCTGCAGATGCCCCAGGAGAAAATGTGTTACCAGAGTTGTTTGTTGTGTGCAAATTGAGAATAAGACATGTAGAAGTTAAATAAGGGAATATTTACTGCTTAACAATCCAGGAAAAATCTATAGTGTTCAAAATAACTGTGTGTGCATCTTCATATGCATTTCCTTTTTGATACTTTCAACGGAGGGGAATGATTGAAAGGGTAACCCACTGCAAAGTTAAGAATTTTGGATGCAGCCACAAGAAAAGCTGGACCTGCTGAAGTTTTTCTACCCAATCTCTTTGTGTTTATTTCCAGACGGGTGTCATGACATCTAAAAGCCTTAAATTCTGACCATACTTTGATTATCCATAGTCTGTCTCTGACATCATGACTTTCTCCTTCTCTACACACTATGGCTCTGGTCCATGAAAGTTTATGCTGTAATAATATGTCAATCATCATCATCATCACTCAATTGCAAAAGGCAGCTTTACTTGGAACAGCTTATATCCTGCAATGATACCTTTAACAC